CCTCACATACACAGCTTCCCCCTCTTCTCAGACACCCCTGCTCCATAAAAAAATAATAATAATAATAATAAAGTCCTCAGGTGAGGATAAAAAAAAATGTAATATATGTCATGGTTTTGGAGTATCTTAGCTATTTCTTTACTTATCCTCTCCACTAAAATATACACCCATGAAACCTTTATTTCTCCAGCACCTGCCATAATGCCTGGACATGTTTTGCTCAAGAAATATTTTATGAATAAATTAATTGTGGAGTGGGGTGGTGTGGTAGGCTGAAAAATGGCCTCCTAAATATGTCCACATCCTAATCCTAATCCTGGAACCTGAGAATGTTACCTTATATGACAAAAGGGATTTTGCAAATATAGTTAAGGTAAGGACAGTGAGATGAAAGATTATCTTGGAGTGTCAGGGTGGATTCAAGGTAGTCACAAGAGTCCTTATAAGAAGGAGACAGGGCTCTGGTTGGTTTGGCTCAGCGGTCAGAGCGTCAGCCCACGGACCAGAGAGGCCCGGATTCAGTTCCCACTAAGGACAGGTACCTTGGTTGCAGTTGGTCCTCAGCCGGATTGGGATCGTGTGGGTGGCAACCATTCGATGTGTCTCTCTCATGTCGATGTCTCTCTCTCTCTCTCTCTCTCTCTCTTTCTCTCTCTCTCTCCTTCTCTCTCTTCCTCCCGCTCTGTCTGAAGATAAAAGAAAAAAAAAAAAATTCAAAAGGAGACAGGAAGGTCAGAGTCAGAGAGGGTAATTTGGTGATGGAAGCAGAGACTGGAATGGTGTGCCTTGGAATGGAGTCTAGGGCCACTGGACAAGGAATGCAGGCATCCATTAGAAGCGAAAATTGCAAGCAAATGACTCCTTTCAGAAGGATCCAGTCTTGCCAGCTCCCTGACTTTAGCCCAGTGGAACTAGTTTTGGATCTCTGACCTCCAAAACTATAAAAGAATAAATGTGTGTTGTTTTAAGCCACTAAGTCTGTGGCAATTGTGACAGCAGTGATAGGAAAGCAATCTAGTTTCGTTGGGTTAACCCTCATAGTGTGAGGCTGCAGTTGCTGGCAGTCCCCCAATGTTCATTCTCCCAGAGTGGGATTGTTTCCTGGGAATAGTTCTCTAGTTCCCCTAGAATGTTTATCTGGGCAAAAAGCTTCCCAGGGTAAAGATTATATTTCTCAGCATCCTTTTCACCTGGACATGGCCATGTGACTACATTCTGGCCATTAGGATTAGAGCACAGATTATCTGCACAACTTCTACACTTTTCTGCTTCACAAGGGCTAGATTGTGGAAGTGGTGGTAGACCATCTTGGACCATGTGGATGAGGGCGATATGCCAGGAAGGGAAGAGCAACAAGATAAAATAATAATAATTTTATTATTCATGGGTCCTGATGACATTGTGCAAAGACCCACTCTATTAACTTGGATTTTTACATAACATAAAAATAAACTTCTATCTTGTTTAAACCATGATTAGTTTGGGTCTGTTTCATGCAGCTGTACCCTCACATTAACTAATACAGAATTTCCACTTACTGTCTATTCATTATGTTGGAGCTTCTTAGAAGGGTAGACATGCATGCAATTAGGGCAGATTTGGGCTTACTTGTTTTTAGTGTTTTTATTGATTTTAGAGAGAGAGATGAAAGGAGAGGGAGAGATAGAAACATCGATAATAATTGGCTGCCTCCTGCAGGCTCCCTAGTGGGGCACGAGCCTGCAACCTGGTCATTTACTCTGACAGGAAATTGAACTGGCAACCTCCTGGTGCATAAGTCAATGCTCAACCATTTAGCCACACCAGCTGAGCTGGGCTTACTTTTTTTTTTTTTAATTCTCACCCAAGGGTATTTTTCCGTTTATCTTCAGACAGAGTGGGAGGGAGAGGGAGAGAGAGAGAGCAAAACATCGATGTGAGAGAGACACATTGACTGGTTTCCTTTTGCACGACCCAACCAGGGCTGGGGACAAACTGCAACCAAGGCACGTGCCCTTGGCTGGAATCAAACCTGCGACTGTTTGGTCCATGGGCCAACACTCTAACCACTGAGCAAAACCAGCCAGGGCTGGGCTTACTTTTTTTTTTTTTTTAATTTTTTTTCCTTTATTGATTTTAGAGAGCTAGGATGTGAGAGGGAGAGAGAGATAGAAACATAGATGTGAGAGAATATCGACCGGCCACTTCCTGCATGCCCCCCACTGGGGATCAGGCCCACAACCCGGGCATGTGTCCTGACCGGGAATCGAACCAGCGACCTCTTGGTGCATGGGTTGACACTCAACCACTGAGCCACACCAGCTGGACTGGGCTTACTTTTGACATCTTTTTTCTTTTTGGGCAATTCCTTTGTAGTTGTGCCATTGTGGTCTTAGGATGCATGTGAAATTCACATTTACTAGGCACTGACTTGATGCTAGGATGTATGGGGCCCCTCCCCCTCCCAGATGTTATTTTAGTTCCCATTAGCAGCTACCATTAGTTGCCAAGAAACAGCAAGATCAAGAGGGATCACTTTACCTGAAGGTAAATATTTCTGAACAGGGAGCAAAGGCTCAGACCTCACAACAGCTCATTTTGGTATACCAACTGTCATGGTGATAGGAAAGGAGAACTGAATAGAGAGCTTCTGTAATACGGAGAGCTTTTATTAGTCAGCTTTGATCGAGTTATGCTGCAGTAACTACAACCCCAAAATCTCAGTGGCTCACAATAACATGTGTTTTTCTCAATCATAATCTATGTCATTCATGGGACAGCTTTGGCTCTGTGCCACATCATCTTCATTCCAGAATCCAGTCTAAAGGAACAGCCTGAATCTGGAACATTTGATTTCAAGACATAGAAGAGAGGAAAGTTGGCAGACCCCACAATGCCCCCTCCCTTTATTTTATCCTCACCCGAGGACATTTTTCCATTTTTTGTTCAGATAGAGTGGGAGGAAAAAGAGAGGAAGAGAGAGAGAGAGAGAGAAACATCGACGTGAAAGGGACACATCGAGTGGCTGCCACCCACATAACCAACCAGGGCCAGGGACAAACTGCAACCGAGGTACATGCCCTTAGCAGGAACCGAACCTGGGTCTCTCTGGACCACAGGCTGATGCTCTAACCGCTGAGCCAAACCGGCCAGGGCCCCACGATGCCTCTTAAAACTTCTTGTGCCCTGGCTGGTTTGGCTCAGCGGTTAGAGCGTCGGCCTGTGGTTCTGAGAGACCCGGGTTCAGTTCCCACTAAGGGCATGTACCTCAGTTGCAGTTTGTCTCTGGCCCTGGTTGGGTCATGCAGGTGGCAGCCACTCAATGTGCCCTTTTCACGTCGATGTTTCTCTCTCTCTTTTTCTCTTTCCCTCCTACTCTATCTGAACAAAAAAATGGAAAAATGTCCTCAGGTGAGGGTTAAAAAACAAAACAAAACAACTTTTTGTCAGTGTTACATGTTACTCCTACTCAAGTTCCATTGCTTAAAGCAAGCTACATGCCCAAAGCTGATGTCAGTGAAGTGGGAGATATATTATATATATATATATATACACACACACATACATACACACACACACACACACACACACACACACACATACATACACATACACCAGTTCATATTTTGCGTGGGGGAAGTAGATATAGATATAGATATAGATATAGATATAGATATAGATATAGATATTTTGTATGGTGGGACCCCATAGGGAGGGCCAATGAATGTTTTTGAAGAATTGTAAAATCTTCCCCAGTCTGTCCTTTTTGTCACAAATACTGCCTTTGTGTTTTCTCTACATGCAAAATAAAGGCATCTCCTTCCCAAGAGATACCACTCAAAAGACCCATCAGATCATGGCATCAAGCTCAAGTCCAGGACCTCTAATAGTCTCTATGCCAAGTCCAGATGTAGCTCCTCTTGACCCAGATACCTGTGAACACCACCCCCTTTGAATAAATAAATAAATACGCTCTCTGCTTCCCCCATGCAAAATATGAACTGGAACAGGGAGAGAATAAAAGCAGTAAACATTCCCATTCAGAAGGAAAAATGGGAGACCCACACAGTCACCGGTCCATAATAATTCTAAAATCTTTCCAGGCAGATGCGGAGAAGCCTCCCCGCCGCCTCTACCTTTCCGTGGGAGTGAGACTGTTTCCTGCAACTAGTTCTCTAGTTCATTCTTCTCCATGTCATTAGTTCTTCTCTTAGAGTGGCTCATCCTTTTCCAATTATTCTCCTTGGCCACATTTGAGAAGATATTGGAGGTTATGCCTTTCTGAGGTAGAGCAGCTTTCTCAGTCTCCTTGCTTCTATAAATTAGGGAGCCCTCAAGGTCATTTTAAGTCTTGAACACTCATGGCCTTTTATTCTCCCCATTGAGGCATTTTACTTGAATGTATGTATTACATCCCTAGAAAAAGAATCCTAGGATTTTCTCTCCTGTGTGTTTTCTTTTGTTTCTTCATGGTCCGTGATGCCTGCTGAGGTTGTCAGTGCAATGAAACCAAACTGATGGGATGCAAACAGGTTGTTCTGCATTTTTCTAGATCTTTGAGTTACACATCAAATCTGGGGCTGCTCTGGCTGGTTCGCTAAGTGGTTAGAGCGTCGGCCCATGGACAATAGAGTCATGGGTTTAATTCTGGTCAAGGGCACATACCTCAGTTGAGGTTTGTCCCCGGCCCTGGTCAGGATCGTGCAGGAAGCAACCAGTTGATGTGTGTGTGTGTGTCTCTCTCTCCCTCCCACTCTATCTGAAGATAAATAGAAAAATATCTTCAGGTGAGGTTTAAAAAAAAAAAATCCGGGGCTGATTACTCTACACTTGTTTAACCTGCCTGTGAGATTCACAACAATTGGCCCACTCTATGGTCATCACTCATTTCAAATTCACCAATGTAACCATGCGTCATTATCACAGTTAGAAACTGGACGATGGCCTTAGAGCATGGCCTAATAAGAACCTTGGCATCGGCCTATTTTGGGCATTGTTGATACTGTACTTTTTTTTTTTTTTTTTTTTTTTACCACTTCACAAATTTGCATGTCATCTTTGCACAGGGGCCATGCTAATCTTCTCTGTATTGTCCTAATTTTAGTATATGTGCTGTGGAAGCGAGCACAATACTCTTCTTTTTTTTTTAACTAAAGAAACAGACATTTATTTTCTTACACTTCTGGAGGCTGAAAGTACAAGATCAAGGTGCTGGAAGGGTTAGTTTCCTTGAGGTCTATTTCTTTGTTTTGCAGATAGTTCCCTCTGTTGGTGTGCTCCTCTGGTTTCTCTTGATGTGTCCAGTTTTTCTCTTCTTAGAAGGACACCCGTCGTCGTGGATTGGGCACGATACTCTTGAGAGCATCAGCCAGTACATTCATGTGCACCATTATAGTGGCATGGAAACATGGTAGAAAGAGCCACTCATGGTCTTTTTTAAAAAAAACTCATCTTTATTGTTGAATGTATTACAGATGTCTGCCCTTTTTTCCTCCATTGACCCCCTTCTTCCCAATCCCACCGCCCTCTTGCCTTCACCACACTATTGTCTTTGTCCATTGGTTATGCATATATGCATAAAAGTACTTTGGTTTATTTCTTCCCAACCTCCCTCCACTCTTCCCTTTGAGGTCTGTCAGTCTAACAACCAATTTGTTCTTCTTAATTCCTTCATCTTTTTCACCTATCCCACCAGTTCCCTCCCATCTGGCAACTAACAAAAAGTTATCTGTTATCTATGAATCTGTTTCTGTTCTGCTTGCTCATTTTGTTTTTAGATTCAACTGTTGATAGACATGTATTTATTGCCATTTTATTGTTCATATGTTTGTTCATCTCCTTCGAGAAGGCCCTTCAATATTTCATATAATACTGGTTTGGTGGTGATGAACTCCTTTAGCTTTTTCTTGTCTGGGAAACTCTTTGTATGGCTATCAATTCTAAATGATAGCTTTGCAGGATAGAGTGATCCTGGTTGTAGGTCGTTGCTTTTCATCACTTTGAATAGCTCTTGCCACTCCTTTCTGGCCTGCAAAATTTCTTTTGAGAAATCAGTTGACAGTCTTATGGGAGCTCCTTTTTATGTAACAAACTGCTTTTCTCTTGCTGTTTTTAAGATTCTCTCTTAGTCTTTAACCTTTTGCATTTTGATGATGATGTGTCTTGGTGTGGACCTCTTGGGGTTCATCTTGTTTGGGACTCCCTGTACTTCCTAGACTTGTATGTCTGTTTCCTTCACCAAGTTAGGGAAGTTTTCTGTCATTATGTTTTCAAATCGGTTTTCAATTTCTTGCTCTCTTTACTCCTTCTGGCACCCCCATGAAGTGAATGTTGAAACGCTTGAAGTTGTCCCAGAGGCTCCTTACACTGTCCTCATTTTTTGGATTCTTTTCTCTTGCTGTTTTTCTTTTTGATGATCTGATTGGGTGTTTTTTGCTTCCTTATATTCCAACCTACATTCAATAGTTTGCTTGTTGGCTTCACCTACTCTACTGTTGATTCCCTGTAAATTATTCTTAAAAATTTGTTTTTCCTTTATTGATTTGAGAGAGAGAGAGAGAGAGAGAGAGAGAGGGAGAGAGAGATGGATATATCAATTGGCTACTTCCTGCATGCCCCCCAACTGGGGATTTGGCCCACAACCTGGGCAAGTGCCCTGAGCAGGAATCAAACCAGCGACCTCTTGGTGCCTGGGTGGACACTCAACCACTGAGCTGCACTGGCCGGGCATAAATTATTCTTTATTTTAGTCACTGCATCCTTCATTTCTGACTGGTGCTTTTTCATGTTGTTGATGTTCTCACTAAGTTTCTTGGAGGTCTCCTTAGGTTTCTTAAAGTTCTCACTAAACTCCTTGAGCATCCTTATAACCAGTGTTTTGAACTCTGCATCTGATTGATTGCTTATCTTCATTTTGTTTAGTTCTTTTCCTAGAGTTTTGTTCTGTCTGTTTATTTGGGACATGTTTCTTTGTCTCTTCATTTTGGCCTTTTCCCTGTGTTTGTTTCTTTCTTTTTTTTTTTTTATCCTCACCTGAGGACATTTTTCCATTTTTTGTTCAAGTAGAGTGGGAGGGAGAGAGAGGAACAGAGAGAGAGGAGAGAAACATCGATGTGAAGGGACACATCAAGTGGCTGCCACCAGCACGACCAACCAGGGCCGGGGACAAACTGCAACCGAGGTACGTGCCCTTAGCGGGAACTGAACCCGGGTCTCTCCAGACCGCAGGCCGACGCTCTAACCGCTGAGCCAAACTGGCCAGGGCTCCCTGTGTTTGTTTCTATGTATTAGGTAGAGTTGCTATGTCTCCTAGGCTTCATAGGGTAGCATATTATTGTAGGTATCCTGTAGGATCCAGTGGCACAGCCTCCTTGATCAGCCCAGCTGGGCCCTCGAGTGCACCTCTACTGTGGACTGTACACCCTTCTGTTGTAATTGAGTCTTGATTGCTGTTGGCATGTCAATGGGAGGGATTTAATCAGGCTGATCAGCTGCAAGGACTGGCTGTGCCCACTGCCCACTGGCCTCTGACTACCTTGGAGGATCAGCTGTGTAGAGGCCCAACACAGACTGACTTACTTCAGCAGGGCTCTGCTACCCACTGAGTCCACTTATTGAGTGTGTCACTTGTGGAGGTGGTTGGGTGATGGTGCTCTGATGTGGTCTGAACCTGTTCACTGGTTGTGCTGGCTCTGGGGCAAGGTCGGCCACTGCCTGTGTTCTACCTGGGGCCACCAGGCATAAGCTACAAAGTGATCTGCAGATGGCTGCTTCTTGTGCTGGGCTTGGAGGTGCCCAGGCAAAGCCAAATTGTGAACCAAGGCTGGCTGCTCCTAATGCCAGGCCTGGGGCCACTTAATGAGAGGTATGGGGCTCGCTGAGACCAGATGCTGCTTGTTTGAGAGAATTTAGGAAAATCTTAAGGAGGATCCAAGACAGGCCAATCCTATGGTAAAGCCATTAGAAACAGCTTGGGTGGGCCCGAAGGTTGGGTGGGGCAGGGACTCAGGGAATCACCAGGGCTGGGCAAACAGTGTGAGCCAGGTTTCTGGAGTCCCAGATATGGCAGCCATCTGCTGCCCCGGGGAAGGTCTCACCAAAGGAACAACGTCCTCCCACAGCATTCTGTCCAAGAGAAAGCTGCTTATCCAGCTCTTGGCCCATGCCAAAAAACTCAGTTCTTTTCCATATGTGTCTGGTGCCTTTCATGCTGCCTCCCCAATGCTGGAGCCCAAAAGGAGCGAGTCTGAGTAAGTCCATGCGCGGGTCCTTTAAGGAGCTGCTTGGGGCTCCCTCAGCCTCAGCCTCCCTCAACCTCAGTTCCTGCTGGTTTTTACAGCCAGAAGTTATGAGGATTCTCTTCCTGGCCCTGGAACCCTGAGCTGGGGGCCTGGTGTGGAACGGGGACCCCTCAGACCTCAGGGAGGACCTTCCTCCTGATTTTTACCTGCCAAATGTGGGTGTGGGACTAGCCTGTCTGCGCCTCTGCCCCTCCTATCAGTCTCCATGTGGCTTCTTCTTTAATTTTGTATTTGTAGGACTTCCATTCAGCTTGATGTCAGGCAGTTCTAAGTGATGGTTGTTCTGTAGTTTAGTTGTAGTTAGATTTGTTTGTGAGAGGAGGCGATACCACGTTTACCTATGCCACCATCTTGACCGGAAGTCACACTCATGGTCCTTCTTTCCCCCCTTTATTGATTTATTGATTTTAGAGAGAGAGGAAGAGAGAGGGAAAGAGAGATAGAAACATCAATGAGAGAGAACATCGACTGGCCACCTTCTGCACGCCCTTCACTGGGGATCGGGCCCACAACCTGGGCATGTGCCCTGACCAGGAATTGAACCGGCGACCTCTTGGTGCATGGGTCGATGCTCAACCACTGAGCCACACCGGCTGGACCCACTCATGGTCTTTTTTTTTTTTAAATCCACACCGGAGGACATTTTTTTTTGTTGATATTTTGTTCGGATAGAGTGGGAGGGAGGGAGGGAGAGAGAGAGAAACATTGACGTAAAAGGGACACATCCAGTGGTTGCCACCCACATGACCCAACCAGGGCCGGGGACAAACTGCAACTGAGGTACATGCCCTTAGCGGGAACCGAACCCGGGTCTCTCTGGACCGCAGGCCGATGCTCTAAACGCTGAGCCAAACCGGCCAGGGTGCACTCATGGTCTTTTAAAAATCCAAGCTAATGGCCCTGGCCAGCTTGGCTCAGTGGTTAGAGCGTCGGTGCTCAGACCAAAGAGTCATTGGTTCGATTCCAGTCAAGGTCACGTATCTCAGTTGCAGTTCATCCCTGGCCCTGGTCTGGATCATGCAGGAGGCAACCAGTTAATGTCTCACATCGATGTTTCTCTCTGTCTCTCTCTTCCCTCCTCCCACTCAATTGAAGATAAATGGAAAAATATCCTCGGGTGAGGATTAAACATTTTTTTAAAAAATCAAGCTAAATGCTTTTGTTGAGGGGAAGAGGCTTCTTACCTATTTGATTCCTATCATCCCCCTGGGCCAGCAGCTAAACCCACATTTCTTTTCAGACATGCCTCCTTTTAGACAAAATGTAGGCAGAGAGAGCCTACAAACTCCTTTGGGAGAGTTAAACTCTTTTTTTTATTCTCACCCGAGGACATTTTTTTCCATTTTTTGTTCAGATAGAGTGAGAGGGAGAGAGAGGAAGAGAGAGAGAAACATCCATGTGAAAGGGACACATCGAGTGGCTGCCACCCACACAACCAACCAGGGCCGGGGACAAACTGCAACCGAGGTACGCGCCCTTAGCGGGAACCAAGCCCAGGTCTCTCTGCACCACAGGTGGATGCTCTAACCTCTGAGCCAATTGTAGCGGCACCTTACTTCTGGCTACTAGTTCTACTAGTAACAGTTACTGCTACTAGTAACAGTTGGTTTAGATTTGTTATGATGTGGTAACAACCACCCTCCAAGTATCAGTGGCTCAAAGCAAAAGAAGTTTATTTCTCATTTACATTATACATCATTTTACAGGTGGGCTACAGCTCATCTTAATTCTGGGTCGCAGGCTGAAGAAGTCTTCATCTGACAACGGCCAGGCTCATGGCAGAGGGAAAGAGAAGGGAAGCTGCCAGACTACTCATTGGTGCTTAAAGCTTCCATTTACATTGCTACTCACATTCCATTGACCAAATTATACAGCCAAGGCTGTTGCAAGGGCATGAATGCATAGTCCTCCTGTAGTGAGGGGCCCAGCAGGAATGACAGTATATATTTGGAACAATCCACCCTACCACAGGGCTGTACCAGAAATGTCAATCACTGAGCTCATCTACTCCTTCATATACACTCTGTTACAGCATTTTGTATCATATAACCTCATATATAACTTAGTCAAGGATAAAGTCTTGACTCAAGATAGACAAATTATAGGCAGGTCAGTGTAGCCTGACCTAGACCAATCAGGTTCCTTTGCTTAGGCGTTTGAACCATGAAACATTGAGTTACTGAGGCAGTAAGTAGAGAGAGGTGCAGCTGAAAGCTTGGGATGCTGGATGGATTCGGAGAAGCCACAACTAACCAACACCCTGATTTTTGAAAGTTGAGCTGACAGCAGCCAAGCCGGAATTTCAGTGCAAAACCTGCCCTTAGCTCCTCACTCAGGTCAGTTTCCCACAGGGAAGGAATACGCACAAGGGAGCCTATGAAATCTCCAGTGCATGTGTCTGCTTGTCTGCTAGTCTGCTCCAGACTTGCCACTCAACTGTTCAAAAACCCTCCATGGGCCCCCCAGCCCACAGAAAAAGTTCAAACTGCTGAGCCTGGCATCCAAGGCCTCAACTTGGCCATCTAGCCATGTCTTCTAGGAGGTTCTAGACAGTTTCCTGAGTGAAACAGGTAAGCAGCCTTTCCAGAGTGGCACTTTCCAGCATGGCCACGCAGAAGTCACATACCACACATGGCCACTGCTGCACAGATGTGGCACAGTCTCTGCATAGGTCTGGCAGTCTCTATTGGATCCCAGTAGGTGTCACAGGTGGTGCAGTTTTATTCTGAATGCAGAAAGGTGAGTAAGTCGAAGAAGGAGACCAATAGGACAGGACTCTACTAAAAATGCAGGCCGCAGGGGAAGAGATGGAGAATGAGGGGCACCCAGAGGCCCTGTGTCCAAATCAGTCTTCTACTGGGGCAGAATCTGGCGGCCCCGCAGTTTCTCCATCGGGTGAACATCAGATGGTTTGCACACTGTTGAGAATGAGCTCTTTCCTGTAGGTGTCTAGAATTTCATCTGTACACAGGGCACATGACCTCAAGCAAGACAAAGGCATCCTCCCAGACTTTCACAGGTCAAAGTTCTGTGGCTAGGGAGCAGAACCCAGCCATTCCTCAGCAAGGCCCTGAATCCCCAACCCTGCCAGTCTCTCACAAGCCCATTACCTTGCGCCTCTTTTGCAGGTTTGATCAGGCCGCTAGCTCTGTGAACCAATCACTTTGGGGCACGACTTCGGACTCGCTCTAAGGCCCCGCCCACATTAGTGTCCCACGTCTAAATGCTGTTTTATTTTATTGGGGGGGGGAGAGGGAGGAAGAGAGAGAGACAGAGAAACATTGATGTGAGAGAGACACATCAGATGGTTGCCACCCACACGACCCCAACCGGGGCCGGGGACAAACTGCAACTGAGGTACGAGCCCTTAGCGGGAACCGAACCGGGACTGGTCCGCTGTCCGTCGCCCTAACCACTGAGCCAAACCAGCCAGGGCACTAATGCTGTTTAATACTGGTGTGCTCAGTCCCTCAGGATACCCAACAGACCAATCCCAATGCTTTTCAGGAACAACTAGCCAGTCGCAGCCACCATCTCAACCATGGCCCATACACTCAGGGCCAAGTATACACACTAGCGGCTGGCACAGGCTTAAGGGCTGCCCCTGGGCCACCGCAAGCAAGGCGCCAGCCACATGGGATGCCCAGCCACGGGTGGAGCAGAGAATGCGGGAGTCGGGTATCTGGGGCCCAATACCACCCTCTGGCCCCTTCCCAGGCCCAGGTCTGGGAGCGGCCCGAGACCACACCAGGGACATCACATCCAGCCCTTCCACAACTCGTGTCACCGGCACCCACATGTGTGCCCCTCACTCAGTGGCCAAAGCAAGCAGTACTGCAGCCGGACAGGTTGGGCAGCCAGGAGCAGCAGCGGAGACAGCAGCGGCAGGGGCCTGTGGGATCAAAAGTGGGATGGGACAGGGTGACCACAACCCGCCCCTAAGACCTTGGACAAGGTTAGGCGCTAACCCCCACTCCAACCAGAAGCTGCCTTAGCCCTGAAACCGGGTGTTTGGACAGGCGCCACACCCGGCTCCAAAAACGAGGTGCCTGCACTGGAAAGTCTTAGAAATTTAGAGTTGGGGTCTGGAGCTCAAGTGCCTCATAGAAACCAGGTTCCTCTGCCTCCTCAGCCTTCTTCAGCCGTACAGTCCCTTAGGAACGGTGTGTGCTGATCCCTAGTGCTGGCTCTCGGCTGAAGTCAGGAAAAAGGCTAGGCCATGGCTCTTTCTGGGCACAGGGCCTATTGGGACACTGCCTGGCAACCTCTTCCATAACTGGCTCCTCATTTAACATTCCACTCAAATGTCACCCCTCTGAGACAGGCCCTTCCCTGTCCACTGTATCCAAAGTAATAGCCTCAGTTACTCACAATGCCTCTTCTTTTTGGCCTCAGGAATGCCCACTAATGCCCCGCTTCCCCGTGTCCTTGCTGGCCCAGCCTCACTGCTTCAGGGTTAGGTACCCAGTGGTCTTTCCCCAGGGACAGTACTGAGCCAGATGTGGGTGTTACCCCTCCCAGTCCCACCTGTTCCTGTGGGAGGCAGAAGGGCAGTGCCAGCTGTAGTCACAGTGCCTAGAACAGTCTGATTTAGGCCTGCCTAATCTGGGCCTGGCAGGATGGCCAGGAGGTGCGAAGGCTGGACACCTGGAGGCCCTGAGCCAGCCCTCAGGAACACACATGCACAGGGGAGTCTCCAACCTTTTTTCGTTTTTAATTTCTTACAAAACCATGTGTGCCATCCAAATAGGACACTGCAGGCGGAAGCCAGGCACTGTGGCCCAAGGGCAGAGGCCCCCATGATCGAGTGGCTATCAACCCCAGAAGAACTGTCTTCCCTTCTGCACAGGGCCAGTATGAGAAGGGGGTCCAGCTGGAGGTTCTGTGCTGCCCCTGGCTCAGCTGCTGGCAGAGAAGGCAGACCCTGGGTCCCTGATGCTCTTAGTGCCTGCAAGGGAAGGAGAGAGAAGAGGGTCTGAGGGGAGGAGAGGCTGGGACCAGGGATGGGGCAAGCCAGGGGGCAGGCCCACAATATCTCACCGAAAATGCACGATGCTATCAAGTCCATATGGAGACGCAAATGATGACTGCCAGAATGAGGACAACGATGGACACACAGATGGCAATCAACACTTTCTTCTGCGGAAGAGGAGGGGGTCAGGGAAACTCACAGGAGAGGAGGGAGAGCCACCCAGGGGAGGGGAGCGAGGTGAGGCTCACCTTCCGAGCCTTCTTCTGGTTCTCTAGGGCAATCTTGATCTGTTCCTGCCCACGTTCCACGTAGTCTGCTGAGCTCAGGATGTTCTTCTCAATCCGGTTGATCATCTCCCCCTGTTCGAAGGAGGTGGCAGTTTAGGCAGGTAAGGATGAGTTGGGGAGGAAGACCCAGTAGTCCACTCTGCCCACCATACCCCTGCCCCAAATGACTAAAGGACACTCCTGGCAGAAAACACGGCACTAACAAGGACGTGGAGGCAGGACCACATCTAACGCAGTTCACACTCCTGAGGGTGGCCTCCAGGCCCCCTTGTATCGTGTGGTGCCTTCTGCCCTGCTCCTTTGATCCATGCAACCTTTACTGGCACTGGTGTCTTGGAGCCAAGTGCTTAAATAGCTCAGCTTTTCACAGAGCATGAACTTTGTCCCCTCACAACACTGACTGAATTTGCCCATTCTTCTGGATCTGTCTCCCAGCAGCTGAGAAGCGCTTCCTGTCCCTGCCCCTCGTGGCATCCCCAGCCTCCGGGTTCTGGTGCTCCTCAGTGAAATCCCTTCCCCACCACTCCCAGCTGTGAAAGGGTGCTGGCCGCGGCGCCAGTGGCTCAGCTCCTCCAGGACAGGGCTGGAGGCTCACTTCACCCCGCAACCAGGGCCATGGCAAGAATAACACTTCCCACCCCAACCTTGTACAGATTTTAGGGGGCAACTCTGACTAGAGCTCTTAGAGGTATACGGGTATATTCCATTGGTGGAGGAGAAGTCAGGGATGGGGCCATACCTGGGGCGGGGTCAAGTGTGTGGGGGGAATACTATGTATAGAAGAGTGGCCATCTGGGTAGCTGCAGAGGTGTATTCTGGGGCACAGCTAAGGAGGGAAGTAAGGGCCAGCCTGGAGGGCATGGCCCAGAGGGAGGGGAACAAAAGCCTGGGGGAGAGAGGCTAAGAGTAGAGGTGAGCTGACAGTGTGGCTGCAGTTCTGACTGAACATGATCTCACACCCGGGGTCAGGGTCAAGCTCAGCTGGCTCCCTGGGGTGCCCACCTGCATCTCCACCTCAGTAGCTAGAAAAGTGAAGATCTCATGAAGTTCACGAATACTGCGTTCAAGCTGCTGGATCTCACTGTGCCGGGCCGAGATCTCATTTAGGGCCTGTCGAGTCACCTGTGTGTCCTTCAATATCTGGAGAGTGGACAGGAGTGGAGGGACAGGTAATAGGGAAACCAGCAGCAGGTCAGAAGTTCCTGTAGATCTTTGTGGCAGCCCTTGCGCTAGAACTGGGCCAGGGCCCTGCTGAGTGACTCCAGGCATGCAAATTCATTCCCTTCTGGGCCTCAGTATCCCCTCAATCAATAAGGGCCAGAGCTTGGAGAGGATGGGGACCCAGCAGAGGGAGGCTGGCTGTGGCCACTCACATTGGACACAAACACCTCGCTCTGCCCGCTGTCCAGCATCTGTTCTAGCTCCTCATCAGACACCATTCCAGCATTTGCTGTGAAGGGAAAGGCCAGGCTTAGAGCTCGGTAGGGTTGGCCCACCCTGTGGACCAGGCACCACAACTCACTGATCTTCAGCTGCCTCCGAATCCGCTCCACATTCTTCTCCCGGTATTCAGACTGCATCGAGTTGCACTTGTTGATGAGCTCCACAAATTGCTGGGACAGGACCCCGTGCTACAGATGGAGAATATAGGCTGGTCAACCCTGAGACAATCTTTGCCCCGTCTGGGCCTCAGCATCCCCACTGGTACAGTGAGCAGACAGCACGAGCTGTTATGTGTGCCTGCTGCTTTGCCCGCTTGAAAGATTCCCCCATTCTCTCCAAGTAAAAGCCAAAGCCCTTACCAGGGCCTACAAGGCCCTACATGACCTGCCCCTCCCCAGTTTCCCCTCTGACCTTACCTCCACCCACTGTCCCTCCCTTATTTCCTCCAACCACAGTGGACTCTTTCCTTCTTCCTGAACAAAGGACACCCCCTACCTCAGGCCTTTGCACTCACTGCTCCTTCCACCTAGAATGCTTATGCCCCACAAAGGCCTTCAAGTCTTTGTTCCACTGTTACCTTCTGAATGCAGTGTTCGCCGCTTTATTGAAATTGCAACCTGTCTTCTCTCAACACTCTCTCTCTCTCTCTCTTTTTTTTTATCCTCACCCGAGGACATTTTTCCATTTTTTATTCAGATAGAGCGGGAGGGAGAGAGAGGAAGAGAGAGAGAGAAACATCGACGTGAAAGAGACACATCGAGTGGCCGCCACCCGCACGACCCAACCAGGGCCGGGGACAAACTGCAACTGAGGTACGTGCCCTGAGTGGGAACCGAACCCGGGTCTCTGTGGACTGCAGGTTGACGCTCTAACCGCTGGGCCAAACTGGCCAGGGCCCCCCAGCACTCTCAATCCCTCTTCTCTTGCACCTTTTTCCTTAATACCTAATGATGTTCTAAAATAATTGATTTATTTATTATGGTGACAGTCTCTCCCCACCAGAATGTAAGCTCCATGAGGATAGGGATCTTTGGTTCTGCTGTAGCCCAAACAGCTAGCACTCAATACATACTTGTTGAATGCTTGCTGAACACCAGCCTCATTGCTTAGACTAGGGTTGGACTAGTATGCCTGGAGTTCAGCCTGTTGCTGATTTCACAGGTCCAGCTGGGCCCTCAGCCTCTTACACTGATGACCACCACAGGCTCCCCCTTTTAAAAAAAATAATTTTTTTTTCCTTTATTGACTTTCAGAGAGAGAGAAGGAGAGATAGAAACATTGATGAGAGAGAACACTGGCTGGCCACCTCCTGAATGACCCCCACTGGGAATCAGGCCCACAACCTGGGGATGTGCCCGGACTGAGAATTGAACTGGTGACCTCTTGGTGCAGGGGTCAACACTCCACCACACCGGCCAAACTCTCGTGAAATGCCCTCTCACCTTGTCCATTTCCCTGATGTCTTATTCCTTGGAGTTCCTTCCTCAGAGACATCACTGCTCTCCTGGCTTCAGTGAACCCTTTCAAGATGCCCAGACTGCTCCGCCTTCAATCTGGGCTCTTTCTTGAGCTCTTGGCTCACCCACTCCAACTCTGACCTCTAAGAACTCTAAACTGGGAACCCAGAAGGGGCCAATCAGATCACCTTAACTCTCTTTTCTAAGATGTTGATTCAGTGACTTTCCCCGCAGGGAAGTTCCACTTTCAGACTTCTTGAATTCTGCCCATGGGGCGGAGTCTGTCCCTGTCATCTGGGCAGGAAACCTGCCAGGCATTTATGACTGCTCCCTCTTCTTCCTTGGGCAGAGTTGTTAGCTAACAAGTCCTACATCAGTAAAGTCTTTGTCACCTATTCAAGCTCAACTTCCCATCTTGGCTTCTAGAAAGCATGTCTCCCACAGCTGAGCCCAGGTCATATCTGGGGACTCATTCGATGACTTCTCATTGAATGGAGAAAAAGGCAGGGTGCTATAATGGATTGGGAATGCTCTCTCTGAGCCTCAGTTTCCCCATTTGGAAAATCATTAGATTGTACTTGATGATCTCCAAGTCCCTTCCTTCTATAAAACAGGTGCTGAAATGTCCTGGTTCTGCGAATAACAAACCCACCTGGGTTTTTCTCATTCTCGTGTTGACCGAATTATAATTCTCATCAGCTTCCTCCTTCTGGGGCTCTATAGCTGTGGGAAGACACAAGGGTATTATGAGAGAGAGGGGTTGACCTGTAGCTTCTGAAAACAGAGGAGCTTATCTCCATACAATTTTTTCAGGAAATGCAGTTTATCATTTCCTGACTAATTCTAAACCTCTGACAAGGGTAAATATATTTTTCTTTGCAATACATCAGAAAATTCCCAGAAGTATGCAGAGGCCTCCTAACAAAACCTCCAAATACCTGCACAAAGAATGCACACTGGGCAGCAAGAATTTTAGGAGTAAATGGTTTTGTAAATAAAGGAACCTGAGAGGCAGGCATGTGCTGTGGAAATTGCTGTGGGCTGGAAGCCCAGAGAGGGAGATTCTAGACTGCTGTAAAACCTGGATATTCACTGGTCTCTCTGGGCCACATACTCCCCAGATAGATCAGGAGCTGGGCAGGACCACAGGGAAGGATCTGTCTCAGGTCCTCGGAGCTCACCCTTTAGCTGCCCGCGGATCTCTCTCCCCAGCTGTTTGATCTCGTCCCGCAAGTTCTGCAGGTCCTGCTTCATGCCTGATCAAAAGAATGCAGTATCATCAACAAATCTCCCTTGCCACCACCTGCGTGGAACTACAATACCCAAAATCCCTCCGGTTGAGCATGCGTTCTGCACCCAGGTTTTCACTCACTCTCCTCGGGAAGGGGCGTGGCCAGGATGGTAACCTGCTGTTTCTCCAACTCTCGGACTTTATTCTCCAGCTTGACAATAGTCTGCCGAATCGTCCGGACCTGGGGAGGGTAACCGAGAGGGCCGAAGGAGATATATAGGTACTCCAGACCGCGTTGCTCCTCAGGTCCTCCAGACCTCTCGTGATCCAGGCAGGGACCCCAGCCCCATACCTTCTGGAAGAACTCCTCGTCCGGGCTCCCCAGCCGTGCCGTGCCCGGGTGTACCACCAGCGCGACCCGCTCCTTGTCCTCATCGTCCGAGCTGTCATCCCCCTGCCAGGGCCGGGGTCATTGGCATCATTTCCTTGCTGTCGTTCTTTCCCCGCAGGACTCACGGGCTTCCGGGTCTTTCCTTCCTAGCCCTCAGCCACCCCTCCCTGCCCCGAAGCCCAGGAATCCTGCCTTCCAGTCAGACCCACCCCGTCCTCCCGCCCCAACCCTACTTCCCCGACTTCTCACCTGCCTCAGCTCTTGGGTCCTGTCCCGCATGGCGACTCGAGCTCCCTCTCCCCGGCCCCTGAGCCCCGAGGGCCTCAAGATTCTAAGTTTGGAACTCCCGTCCCCTCCTCACACCCTGGCTCTCCCCTCCGCCTTCACCCTGCGGACCCCCCCCCCCCCCCACGGGCCGCCAGCAGTGTCTGTCCCTGACACAATCCGCAGTCAATGGGAAGGAGCTAACCACCGGGACCCCAGGGTTCCACAGGTTGGAATTCCCTTTTCTTCCCCTCCTCCAGTTCCCGCAGCCTAGGCCCCACCCCCTTTTGGATGAGCGGGGCATGCGCACGGGGTGGCATCTCTTCCCTGCTGGAGGAAAAGGCGGAGGTCGGAAGCTGCAGCGCCCCGACCGGAAGCAAAATTGCCTGGATGTGAGAGCCCACCTCCTTTACCGGAACTGTCGCATCTTCTAACGGCAATCTTGTTGCCAAAAGGGGTGAGAATGCATCATTTGTACGTAATCTGAGAGGCCCTGCATCTCACATCACCCCACGGTGCACCCCCGCGTCATGTGACTGGCCGGGTCCCAGCCTCCCGAACCATAGAACAAGACACTTTGACTGTCACGTGTCCTGGCTTCTGTCAGTTCCATCTCTGGAACACCCATATCCCCACCACTTCCCGGGGCGCCCGACCTGCCCCCCTCCAGCTCCCACGAGGTGGGGAGGGGCTGACTAAACCCGAGACCTTATGAGGCAGTGGGTAGTAGGACCCTTGATGAACCGGCTCTATTTCTTTTGGGTCCTGAGGGGTGGACAGACTGAAGACTTCGAATTTGGGGCTATCAGCATCATGGGACTTTGAGATTCAGAAAATAAGATTCAGCGTCAGAACTGCAGGGTTTTGAAGACAGAGAATCTGCGGGTGGGAAGTGACCTCACCCAAGGCAGAAATCTCTCCTGCATACTCCTGTCGCAGCCTTTGACGACAAGGGGGCGGCTGGCGCCCTGCTTGAACACTGCAGTCCCTCTGCACTCACCACCTGTGAGCAGTGAGACTATTTAAGGGCAGCTCAGGCTGAGAAAAGTGTCTGTATTATATCGAGCAGTTTGCCTTGCAGTTAGGTCTTCCCTCCCGAGCCCACCAAAAAAAAATCTGGGCACTTTCCACATTATAGTGGACTGTGAGCTTTTGAAGTCAGGGCATGATTGTCTTGTTCTTACCTGAGTCCCCAGCACCTCGTTTCGTACTTAATGGGCCCTCAATAAATATTTGTGGACAGGATTTTAGCCTTTCATGTGTCTGAACATAAAGGTCATGGTTCCTTGGTTTTCTCTTTTAGGCTTCAGTCTCTCCTAGTGACACTTCTCTAACCCTGGCCCTCTAGGCGTTCATTCATTCAATATATATTTATTGGTCATTTACAATTGGCCAGACACTGTTCTAGGGGCAGGAGATACATCAGGGCCTAACAGATAAAAATACCTTGCACTTGTGTAACTTACATTCAACAGGAGTCCCAAAGACACTGAGTCTCAGCAAACCTGGAATGAATATTGAGTCTCGTGGATCCCACAGTTTTTTGCAGGGAACTTATATGAGGTTTCAAGCAGGAGAAGGAATGGCCCCTCTCTAGTATGCCCTGGTAAGAAAACCTAGATTCCTATGACTGAGTTGCTGTGGCCTTTTGGGAAGTCACTAGTTGTCTCTGGACCTTGATCTCCCATCTATACAGTAGGTGGCAGTAGGGGGATGGGGAGATCATCTTTATGGGTATTCCCTGCTTTACAGTTCAATGATTATGAGTTTGGAAACTGTCAAATGCTATCTTATCCTGTATGAGGGGCTTTGATCCTTCTCCTCTTCCCTTTAAAACCCAACTCACTGTGGGGGTCAGGAATGAAGATGCTGCCATTCTGATCAACCCACAGGGGAAATGAAAGGTTGGATGGGTTTCAGGAGGCCAAGCCCTGTTCCACGGCATCCTTTGGAGATCATGGGAAAGGATTTCTCTGCTCTTGGGTCTTCCATATTAACCTCTACCTCCCTGTCCCCCTCCCCTTCTCTCTCTGTCTCTGTCTATCTCTCTGTCTCTCTCACACTCTGTGTGGTACAGTGGAAGAAATTTTGGATATCTGACTCCTGGTCCAGGGTATGATCTTGAATAATTAGTTATTCCTCTCTGGGAGTCAATTTTTTCATTGGACAACTTGGTCGGGTATTTCTGCCTTGCCTAAGGTAAAAATTGAATAACATCAAGTGAAGTTAGGAAGTATTCGGAAGAGTCTTGGGACGGGTTGAGTGTTCCCCATCTGCAGGCTTTTGCTGCTGTGAGTTCAGCACTCTCTGGGCCAGCAGTCCCACCTGCCTCTCTGCTTCTCAGCCTTTCAATGACTTGCTTTCTTGGTCCCCAGCTGTGATTTGGAGTTGTGGCTGCCTTTGTTATATTGCCCAGAATTATGACATTCACCATTTTATTTGTGGTCTCTGAGTAGGAGGGCGGAGCTTTGGGATGGTCCCAAGAGGCTGACTCAAAGGCTTGTGAAGTCCTGTGCGGAGGGGATGGAGAGCAAGGGCCATTAGGGAGAATGGCTCTGGGCATGGGGCTTTCCAGAGTTGAACCCTGGTCTTTGTTTCATGGTCCTTTGTTACTCAGGCCCTTTGAGCAACCTTGATGTATGTATTAAGTATGTTGGGTCTTGGATGTGTGGGTATTGATGATGTGTGTGTTTTTCTTTCAGTCTGTATAAAGGTCAGGCCCTACCTGATCCTGAGGCTTGGCAGCCTGCCCTGTCCCTTCCACGTGTAGGTCCATCCTACCAACACTGGAGCTAGATGACCTGGCTTAGAATCCAAGCTCGTGCCCTGGCCAGTTTGACTCAGCAGTTGAGCATTGGCCTGTGGACCAGAGAGTCCCGGGTTCAGTTCCTGCTATGGGCATGTACCGCAAAAAAAAAAAAAAAAAAAAAATCCAAGCTCGTTCATCTACTGTATAACTCTAAAAGGCAAGTTACTTAACCTCGCTGTGCCTCAGTTTACTCATTTGAAAAATGGGAACAATAACAGTACCAACCTCATAGGGTTGCTGTAAGGATTAAATAAGGCAATATAAGTAAAGTGAATAAAACAGTACCTGGTACAGAATAAGTGCGGTGTAAGTGTTTGCTGCTATTATATGACAGTGTGATGATGGTTGTTACTCTGAGGGTATCAGCAGCCCGAGTCTCTGCCAGGGGTCCCGCTCTGCTGCTTGTCCAGGGTTTCCTCCCCTTTCCATCTCCTGAGCCCCACTGTGCCCAGGGTCCTAGGCTAGTGGCCTTGCTAACTCCTACAAATCTCCCATGCCTCCACTTGGATCTGACACACCATATATGTAGCTTATTTATTTACATATTGTTTCCCTGCGCCTCTCCTCTCCACCCTACTAGAATCTAAGCTCCACGAGGACAGGGATTTTCACCTGCGTATTCATGCTATGTCCCCAGCACCTACAACCGTGCCTGGCACATAGATGCTGGTCAGTAAATATTCATAAATGAATAAAAATTTTGTTTGCATTTTTATTTATTGATTTGAGAGAGAGAGAGAGAGAGAGAGAGAAACATCAATTTGTTGTTTCGCTTATTTATGTATTCATTGGTTGATTTCTTGTATGTGCCCTGACCGGGGATCAAACCCACAACCTTGACATACCAGGATGATACTCTAACCAACTTAGCTACTCAGCCAGGGCCAAATTACTTCTTTTCTTTTTTTTCTTTTTCTTTTTGGTATGTGCCCTTAGCAGGAACCAAACCCGGGACTCTCTGGTTTGCAGGCCGACACTCCAATCGCTGAGCCAAACCGGCCAGGGCCAAATTATTTCTTTTTAATATAAATATTTTTTATTTTTTTATCCTCACCCGAGGACATTTTTTCATTTTTTGTTCAGATAGAGTGGGGGAGAGAGAGAGAGAGAAACATCAATGTGAAAGGGACACATCGAGTGGTTGCCTACTCGCACAACCCAACCAGGGACAAACTGCAACCGAGGTACGTGCCCTCAGTGGGAACCGAACCCAGGTCTCTCTGGGCTGCAGGCTGATGTTTTAACCACTGAGCAAAACCGGCCAGGGCTTTAATATAAATCTTATATAGCATTTACTATGTGCCAGGCACCAATATAAGCACTTCATAAATATTTACTTACTTAATCTTTGTATCAGTTCTGTGAGAGAGATAGAAACTGATGCACAGAGATATTAACTTGCCCAAAGTTACACACTAGTAAATGAGAGACAGGATTTAAACCCGGAGAGTGAGCTCCAGAGTCTGTGCTCTTAACCACCACACTACGACCCAAGGAAAACTGATCCGAGGTGGCTCCCAGTATTCCATTCACCTTTGGGGACTTGCTGCCACCTATTGATGCCCTGCTTTCGACCATCTGGAGAAGAAGGGTGCAGACTGCCTGTAAGACTGAGACTTCTCCCCTCTCCGGTCATAGGGTCTCTCTTCCACACCTTCTGAGCTGGGGCTGACAGCCGGGGAAGTTGTTAGTCCTCTTCTCTCTCATAGTTAGCTGTGTCCCCAGGAGGCAAAGATATTCATGCATATCTCAAGTGAAGGGCCTCTGTTGACCCCACAAATGTCTGTGAGGCTGTTTCTGTGCCAAACTTCAAGGACCACAGAGATGAAGCTCCCACAACTCTTTCCTCACGATGTGCTTTGGCCTCACCTTGGTCATTTCCTAGACTTCCATCTGAGAACCGCTCTTCACACTCTACATATGTTCATCCGGCTTTAATTGACATCCACATGCTAGCTCCCAAATCCATATCTCCAACTCAGAATTCTCTCTTGAGTTCCAGACCATGGAATCTACGTGCCTCCTAGACAGTGTGGGGGTCCCACAAGCATCTCAAATTCAGTGTGTCCCAAACAGGATGCATCATCCCCACCACCACCAGGATTTCCTAAACCAGCTTCTGCTTTTCCTGTTTCCTCTCTACATGGGTGACACAGGTCACCCATGCCATAACCTTTGCCTTAAACTTCATTCTAAAGGTGATGGATCACACAATTGTCAAGATAAACTCTAAGAAATGCTAGAAGAAAAATGAGCAAAATCCTTTATAACTCTTGGAATGAGAAAGACTTTACCAACTGCAACTCAAAATTCAGAAGCTATAAATAAAAGATTAATACATTTGTGTACATGAAAAAATTCTGCATGGCAAAAATATCAAAGCAAGATCGAAAGACAAACAAACTGGAAAAAATATTTGCAATTCTTATCATATACAAAGTGCTAATATCCGTACTAGTTAAAGAGCTCCCACATA